TTTGAAAATTAAAGTATACTAATATTTAATCAAGCTCTATTTATATTAATTTATCTAAAAATGAAATACTAATCTAACAAACAATAAAATATAGAAGAAGAAACAAACACATGTTTGAAAAAGCATGTATAATATAGAAAATTTGAAATAATCTATTTGATTAAAACACGTATTATATAATATTATTATATTTGAAAAATATTTACTATACATATTTTAAATATGTGATTACTATGATATATACCAATTTACAAGTGAAAACAAAATGTTTATATAACTAACTATAAACGAAAACAAACACCCGCGCGGTTGCGCGGATCAAAATCTAGTTTTAATTTTAAAAAAGGTATATGAAATTTTGTACTATTTTAAATTTGTTACAAAATATAAGAAAATACAAAAAGTCAAAAAGTTTACTGTTGGTTGCTACTGATCAAGCGGTGGAATATGATAAAGAACTATAAATGTATACTCTCGAGCAGCCAGAAAACTATTATTAAGCGTATTTCTAATGTAAAATTTCAAGGTATAGTAATTCTAACTATACTTTGTTTTAAAGAAAAAAGTAAAATAATAAATATAAATAAATTTACTACCATATTTATGGAATAAACTAATTTTTTTACTTCATTGTGAAATGAAAGATGGAATAGAAGTGAAAACGATTTTATTTCAAATTTCATTTTAAAATCATAAATAGAATAGTGTTAGAGATAATTAAAAAGGAGAATACATACCCAAATACTTTCACAAAGATAGTGTATTTCTTAGTAATTTCAAATATACATGTATTGTTATTGCCTTATTGGTAAATTTTCACTGTGTGCAACCAGTCAGAAATTATTTTTTGGATTTTCCCTTGCTCTCAAGTTTAAGTTCTTACGAACTATATGTTTTTTTAACCTTCTTGCGAATTATATGTTTCAGAAAAGAAAAAGCAAATAAATTTAGTTAAGAGGGATCATATATAGCACATGGTACGTAGCATATTGATAGTAAATATCTCGACCATGCCCCATGGAGGCTTGGACTCGTGGAGATCTTGAGCCGGTCAAGTTGTTGGTCGGTCAAATATGACAGGAACTTGACTCTTTATTTTTTGTTAGCAACTAGTTTATTTTTATGTAGTAATATTATAATCTAGTATACTAGATACTCATACTATAGAGTAATTTATCATCCAAAAGAAAGCAATAATATTAACAAAGACTAGTAAGCAGGTCCTAGCGCAGACATGTTATAATTTATAAGACATATGGTCAACCACTCGCATGTCAAAGTTGTTCACTGATTACCCCAACTATTTGGTTGACCTATTTAAGTTTCATTTTAGATAATCGAATTTGAAGATAATTATGCTGAAATCCAAATTAATGCCCTAGCAGCTTCTAAAACCATTTAATTTCTATTTTTGTACATAGACCGAATCTTGGTAATTCGCCACTCAATTATCATCGCTTAGTTCCAAACGTTGTCAATATCGCGATTGTGCCAAGACGACTGATTATATCTCCACATAGATTCACCAGTAACCACTAAGAAGAAAGAAAACAAGACCAACAATTAAATATTACAGCACACGTGTTCTTTCTTTGTTTCTCACTTTGCCTAACAAAACCGATTGATCAATAAGTGCGAATAAGATTATCATACTACATATCATTGTAACAAAGAAAAAAGTTAAACGACAACTTTTGCTGTAATAGTATGGTCCCCGGCAAATAAAATTTATGAATTTGGTAGTAGCCTCTCACCCCCAAAACACATGCTAAACATGCCTAAACCATTTCCCTTTGCGAAAACACATCCAAAAAGATCAAAAGTGTGAACTGTGAAGATGTATTATTAATTTCTTAATTTATCAAATTATTATAATTTCCAGTTTTTTTCTCGTCATCAAACCTTTTTTGCTATTTATACAAGTGGTTTAAACAAATTTTGTTAGTGTTATGATAGGCCCAAAATGCAAAGGAGAATAGAGGCAATAAAAAGCCCACGTAATTAATTTGATGGCAATAGGTTTCGAACATTGGTGGATACTACGTAACTTTCAACTATTAATCATATGATCCATTTCTTCCCACGTGGACAAAAATTAGCCAATTGACTCATCCATTTTACACCACATTTATAAAAAGGTTATATATTACTATTATTATTTCTTATTGTATTTTATCAACGGAATAAAGTTGCATGCACAATAAAAATTTGAGAAAATGACTAGAATAAACTTAAACAAGTTTTTATCACAAATATAGATCTTAATAAGTAAAATGACCAAAATATCATTTAAATGTTTTATCAAATATATATTTTATACCCATTGGGTTAACTAATTCTAGATTTTTTTTGTTTAGAGTTGAGGAGTGTGGTTTTGGAGATAGGGTTTCGAATTTAAAAAAAATAAAAAAGCTGAAAATTTTCAAAATAAAAAAATGTTATTTTGATCATTTTAATTTTTGAGGTCTATTTTGTGATAAAAACTTAAAAGAAGGGCTATTTGAGAGAATTACCCTAAAAAATTTGTACTTTGTATAATTGACTGAAAGTGACCCGGCTCTTGGTCTCGTTATAAGATTTTCAGTGCATTTTTGATCAATATTTTAACGATCCCCAAAATTACTATTTTATTATAGTTTATTGAAAGAAATGATATTTTCGAATGGGCTATACGGTTTTGAAGAGTTGTGTAATTAACTTGGGGATGCTTTTTTTAGCTTTTGATGTGAGCCAAAATACTTGGGCATTAGAAAAAGAGTCTCAGTCATCACTGCGTTCTGAAGATTGTGGGAGTTTTAGGAATGACAAGATCAGTTTATTGGGCTGGTTTGGGCCATAACTGTTTATTAAGTAGGCCTAGGTTTCGTAGGTTTGCAAGCCTCAGATAATCACGTGAAAGGTTCTTTTTGTTTTGTTTGTTTCTGTTTATGGTTAAACGAGGGTATGTATCAATTTTACACGTCAAATCGATTAATTGTAATGTCTCAATAAAAAAATGCATAAGAGAACTCAAACTGTATCATCAATATGCTCTGTCATTAACATTTATTGATATAATTGATTTCAACTTCTTAAAAACCTATGCTCTGTCATTTCCCTATCTATAGTCATAGATCATAAATCCTAAATTTACTCTGAATAAAAATAGTAGTGAGAGATCAAAACCCAAATATTACCTTAAGACTAGTTGCATATTCCCCGCGCAAGCGCGGGGCCGGGATCATTATGTTTGCGTGTATTTTTCTCGATTGTTGGTTTAGTGGATTCTTCTAATGACACCAATTAATAATGAAATGGAAAATTTCATTTTTTTATATCGTATGTCAAAACTTGATATAATTCTATATTTATAGTATTTATATTTCTATTAAACGATTTATCAATATGAAAATAACCTTAATTAAGTTAATATTCGTTGTTTAAGTTTCATTAGATAGGTTTTTATATATGATTTTTTGTAAGTTTCGGTTTTGTTCATAAATGATGTGGCATTTTTATCAACGGAGTCATCGACTGTGGGAATTAATTCGCCGAAATCTGGAGTCGGTGGTGAGAAATGTTTTCAATGAAATTATAGTAGTTATTAAAATGTAAGAGAAATTACATATTCATTTAATAAATAACTTACTTAAATTTTGTTGTTTATTTTATTTTATTTCACATACAATTTTTTTTGAAAAATATTAGGAATGTGTTAAATGTTATTTATATGCGAAGTAAGGTTNAGGAATAGTTAGGCTATAATATAGTTTTTAGTGTGTAAAAGTAGGTGTATTTTTTTTTGCTGTAAATAGTTTTTATATCGTAGATCAAAACTTGATATAATTCTATATTTATAGTATTTATATTTGTATTAAACGATTTATCAAT